CTTCTACTTTCCAAATCCCTCCCTAAAATGTTCACTAAGGGACCTTAATTAATGACAATACAACTAGGGAATACCATTTGCTTTCTCGAATCTCTTAACGCTTGTCTCAAAGCTCAAAACTCTGAGGCGCAGGGTAAATAAGTTTAAATTCCTTGCCAATCTGACAAATTCTTAATGCAAGAGAGAACATAATCATACATAGTTGATGGAAACCTGAAATGTCAGTGTAATAGCCTTCCCTTATTTAACAAATCACATCATCAAAACATCAATTTCTTAAGAAAAAAATTATAGAGTGAAATATGTCAGTATTATGTTCGATGTGAGTGAGTTACAACTTCAAGTAAGTATAAAACATGATTAATTAATCACTATAGAAACAATGGAAGGTGACTAAAGCAGAGAACATTATATGTTCATACACAAAAGAAGAGTTGTGAAGACTATATTAAACCTTCATTTGAAAGGTTTCCTTTACTGAGAACAGAGTATGCTGGAAAGCAAAAGCTTAGAACTGGTATGGGAGCCGGTTGATCTTTAGAGCCTTGAACCTGTTAGTTTTAGGATCATAAGAAACCAGAGCTTTCTTGTTACACTCCAACACAATCTTCCCGTTCTTCAGGACGCATAAAACTCTTATGAATCATCCCACCTAGCTCAAAGCAAAATCTTCAATCACCATTCCAAGAGGAGCATTATGACACTAATCTTCCGTTCTTCAGAACTACTTTTCGAGAAAAAGGCAGATAATAGTCAGGTGGATCTCATTGCCATACCACAGCAGTCACCCATGATGGTGTAAATAACACAACTGTTACTGATGTATTGATGATCAAAGATTCAACACAAACTAAAAACTAGTAGTAGAGGCCTACAGAAAAAGGGTTGATTCAAGAGAGAAAGTTAAAGTTTCAAATTCATGGTTGCCTTTGCTCAGTTTGCTGAGAAAAGAGAAGGTAGAAAAGGAAGTGCCTGGAAATAATCGGGTAACCCACTTATTTCAAGAGTCTTGAATCTGTTTTCCACAGGATCATAAGAAACCAGAGAACTTTCACCATGACGCAACAGAATCTCACCATTCTTCAGTGCACATATAACTTCGGGAACTCTTCCTAAGAAGCTTGGCCATGCATCAGGAAAATAGGGATCATAGGAGAATTGTTTTACCCAAGATTCCTTAACATGGTATTGCTTCATCACCCAGATATCAAGATGCCCAGTTTCAAATGACCCAGCAGCCGAGAGACACCCATTGAGCACGGAAAGACTGTAGCGATTTGACACAAGTCGTTGACTAGGTGGGTGCGGAATTTCTACAAACACCTCATCTGCAAGCTCGAAGGAGATAATACGAGAGATTCTATCCATCGCACCAACAATCACCCAATTGAGGGATCCTTCTACAAGAGCCTCAGGTGGTCTGTATCCTACCGCGACCGTGAACCGTGGAGGTGG